GTGTTACATAACAATCATGTAATCCATATGTTTCGAGCAGCACAACTCACCTAATTATATGCTTTTGCAGCCTGGGTTTCGTGTAGTGGACCATATGCTGGGTAATTTGCCAAAATGCTATGGGTAGAGCCATTAGTACAAACACTCCGCCGATAAGAATTCCCTGATCACTTTTCTGGAAGCCATTCTGCACCACTCGCACTACGAGGATGGGCAGTAGCATGACGATGACGATGGTGTACACCGTCATGACAGCCGGACGAATCCAGTACCTCCATTTCCGGAAAAAGCTGAGCAACGCTTGGAGACACATATTTGTTTGATTTTGTAAAACTCGGGACGGTTCGTCCCCTATCAGTGAGGTTATATCACGACTGACTGACAAGCTCCTGATAACGAAGGGCTAGGGACGAGAGTCTGGACTCCGTGACCGAGCAGAATACACGTCTAAACAAACGCTCATTTTCGGGAAGGACACAGCTGAGTAAAAGCACGGGAAATACTTCATCAACACGTAAACTAAAAGAAAAACATAGAATCCAGCTGATTCGAGAACTCATTCGAGCAGACGAGACAGCGGTTACAAAACCAAAACAAAACATCCAAGTGCAGTATGAAAACTAAAGAAGCACACATCACATGAGAAATTTAGAGTTAACCTGACCTACCATATAGGAATGAGTGAATAATCTCCAGACCTCAGTGATTAGTTCTGTGAAAAGATTGGGAAATCACGCGGGGCAGGCTTGGCATCTCAGTGGATTGTGCGTGCAGTGTCTTTGCCAGAGTGTCGGTGCTCCCGGAAACTATGCGTGTCTGTCAGATCGGCCGGCGCCGGGTACAGAGGCAACCCATCGAGCACTGAGCACAACAGAGTGGCATATCTCGGATTCTGCAGGGTGAGCTCTCCGGAGCACATGTTGCACTACTGCAACCGACGCGGCCACAGGCAGTCGGGGTGGGGACAGCCGCTTCCAACCACAGTGGTCAGAACATATTCCCTGGAGATGCTGAGACGGTTGACGGGTACGCACCTGGATTCCTCGGTCTTATAAACGCACCTGCCACCACAGTAAGGTGCCAGGAAAAGGGAACCGCTTACACCGTGCAAGTCGGAACCCAGCTCTAGAACTCCCACGGCCCGCTTATTTCACACTGAGTAAAACCCCGGTTCCAGAGGCAAATCTCGTCACATTTTGATGCAGCAGGAACCAGGATGGTAACCACTATGCCGTTAGAACTTCATGAGAGGCTGGATGAAATGATGGGTTTGGAGTCCACCCAAAATTTTGTGGCAAGATAATTTTTTTTCACTTTGACAGATTATATTCGAACCGCCGCCCTTCGAGTCTCTGATGAAGTACTGCCCGAGCGCGGTTACGACGCCACGATGCAGGCTGACTGCCATCTAAGAGAGTCATGCTGCGCGAGTCTGGTCGGGAGGAAGTGAAGAAAAACGAAGAAGCTCAAAGTTCTGTAGTGCATGCAGAAATGCGGACCTTGGGGATAATTCAGAGGTGCACGTCCCTCATTTGACGTAATGAAATGAAGTTAATCCTAGTTTAAGCTCTCATAGCGCCTGATGGGTAGGCAACATCTTGCATGCAGTGCACGCGTGTACTGCGGTGTAGCCTAGCCTGTGTCTCGCGGGCGCCGACCTTCTGCGATTGTCGATATAGTGTAGTGATAATGAATCTGAGAAAAACGGTCGTACTTTCTTTACGATCCCTCATAACACATAGAAATCTGGTCTCAAAATGTTCTCCATGACCGGTGGTGGGTCCGTACAGTTTAACCAACATACGAATTCCATTCAGACCAACACCGGGGGGAGCGTATATGTTCTGACGGTCGGGGATCGGCGGGAGTCAAGTCGAGAGAAAGGACATCATCAATAGCGGCTAACCGTGGGGCGTGGGGCCGTGTCGGTCTCGCTGGCCGTGCTCCCAGAAGGGGGTGGGTGGTGGGTGTTCGTCATTAAGGTGCAGTGGTCGGAAGTGAGGCAACAAGGAGCGAGAATGTTCCAGGCGGCCCGGGCGCGCCGCGCAACGCCTTCGCGGGGCCGCCGTGTCGCCGTGTGGGCGAGCCGGGTCCACGTCATGTGGCTATGGTCGGTCAGCCGCGTGTGAGGCGTCGAGGAAGTGGTTTGGAAGCGCGCCCAAAATGGACATATTATATTGCGGTACACTCGGCGTCTCGGCGCGTGTCCGATCCCATTCGAGGAATTCGGAGGAAGTGCGGGGGTGGCGAGGAGCTCGGGGTATGGTGGTGGAAGGGGGGGACAGGGGGCCAAATGACGACGGAGACGCCGGGCGCGTCGCGGTCCAAGTGACCGAGGGGAAGCTCATAGTCATTCGCTCCTTCGTAAAGCCCCTTTGGTTTGGACAGGGGGGTGGGTGGAGGGGGAGGAGGGGTAGGAGGAGAGAGCGGCAGGTCGTCGACCAAAAATAACGCGCTCCACACAGCATCCCGACTGCAGCATCCTGTGCGCGACCCCGCGGGAGGACGAGGACAGAGGTAGGAGGTGTCGTTCGGCTCCTCCTTTTATGAAATGAAAAGGAAAGTAAACGTATTGACATGCTGCATGCGGTGCTGTCTATAAAATCGACCCGTTCCTGCCGCGAGGACTCGTCCTTGGGCCTACTCACAGCTGGACCGTGGGAAAAAGATGCAATGTATTGTAAATGTACACGGTAAAACCGACGTCTTTTCAAGCAGTTTTGGAAAAAACCAAGATGTTGCCATGCGTATTTCTCCCACAAGAGATGCTTCGCTGCTCGGAAACCAGAACGTCGTTTTCATTACCGTGCTACTCTACTTCTTTGCCATTGTTGAAGCCCATTCGGATTATCGCGTCCGTAAAAGCTTTCGATCGGTATTGACGGACGGATCAATTCGGGTCAATCTGTTGCACCCCATTTCGCAACACGGCATAATATGCGCCCCGTGAGCCTCCCTCTCTACTTTTGCACTCGTCGAAATCAATGTGCCTTTATTTGGAGGTCGCGTCACTGATCGGCGGGGCGTGCCGCGCGGCGTGCCGCGTGTGGGACTGACTGACTGGCGCGCTGGTCCTGGCCGGTCCTGGCGCTGCCATGCGTCACCCCACCGAGCCCGTCGTGCTGCTCACGGCCTGCTCCCGTCTGAGGGAGATGAGACAAAGGCAAAGGCGCGGAGCGCGGGCCCCCCGACACCCACGGCATACGCCCGCCCCGCGCGCATGCACCGCCCTCTGTCACCGCCCCCGCCCCACATTTGGCCCCACTCCCTAACCCCCCCCCCCCCCCCCCTTTTCCTCTCTTTCTCTCCCGTGATTATGGCATTGGCATCGCATTGAGGTGAGCTGTGCTCTTGCGCTCGCCGTGCGGGGGCACACGCCGGGGCACGCCGGGGCATACGGTCTGAGCAAGCGAGTGTCGCCGCGTTGTGCAAACGCCTTCCGTATGGAGCGCACTGGAGCGCACTGGAGAGCACTACTGCGCAGCACCGGAGAGCACCGCGCACTGCCTCTTCTTCAGCTTGGTCGATCGATCCGTAGATCCGCAAAGGACGTGAGCATTTTCATTGCCGATACCCCTGCGCACCAAATGGGGAAAAGCAAATACATTGGGCCAAGAAACATGACTTTTTGGGATGTAAATTAATTTGCTTCTTGGGCGAAATTTGTAAACATTATGTGGGACGATTAATTTGTTACCGGCTTGCAGAAAGAAGCTGCCCGATGGTAAAATGTTGCGTTCAAAAAAACACAACATCTCGTGGGAAAAAATTGTCATTTTACTGGCGTTACGCCTCAGGTTACTGTTCTCACTAGGTTCCATGCTATCCCGCAGGCCATGCGCGCGGACGGGTGGCCTACTCGCACGGGGCCCCTAGGAACACCAGGAGTCGGGAGGTCCAACTTGCCTGCCCGGTGGTACAGCTGAACTACAAAGACTGCACCCTTACTAGTCACATATTGCCCGATATGGGTTGACTGTGAACATAAGCCCAGTATCGACTCAGTATGTGGATGGGACTGCATGGACTGCATGCAGTCCAGTCTCGAGTCCAGCCAGTTGAGCCAGTTACGCTCATCGAAAAATACCGAATCTCGAGCTGTGTCGCCATTGCTTTCGGCGTTGAGTATGTAATGTGTAAGTCTACACATATTTAAATGGGGAACGGAAACGTTTCTTCTGGGCACATCCAGTTTCATCAGACGACTCTATTCCAGTCCCACACAATTTTCTCTAAGCTCACTGACAACATTTCAGTTTCCAGAATTTGACGCAAAATCGTCCCACCCGAAGCGCAATAAGTCAGGGACGTGGATCGTGGATCTCTCTGGACACTTTTTGGCGGTCCGGTCCGGACGCGGGGTAGCGCCAATGCCGCGGCGCCCGCAGCGCGCTCTAGGGCCGCGCCGGCGCAACACCCGGCGCGACGCACCCGCGACGCCTCGCGCTCGCGCGCTCTCTCTCTCTCTCTCTCTCTCGCTCCCTCTCTCTGCGTCGCGCGCGCGGCGTCGCTCTATCTCGCTCGCACCCCCCACCGGCGCGACCCCGCGGGCGGTATGGCGCGGGCGGTGCTATTTAAATACGTGACGCGGCGCCCCCCCCCCTCCTCCCCCTCCGCCCCGCGCAGGCCCGGGCGGCACTCACAGCCCCGCGCAGGCCGCTCGAGCCGGCAGTCTCCCAGCACAAGCCGCCCAGTTCGCAGGCCAGTCCGCTCCGTCTCCGACTGTCTCCGACACCCAGTCCGCGCCCAGCTCTCGTGTCCCGTTCGCGCACGCGGTCGTGTCCCGGTCTCTTCACCACCACCACCAACACACAAACTCCCTCACCATGGCCGACGGTGGCGTCAAGAGAAACATCCCCATCAAGCACATGGGCGACTTCAGCGTCCTGGACTCCGAGTTCAGCAACATCCGCGAGCGCTTCGACAACGAGATGAAGAAGATGGAGGACGAGATGACACGCTTCCGGTCGGAGCTCATGAACCACGAGAGCAACTTCTTCAAGACTTCAACCAGGTAAGCAAGCGACGCCCGAGCGACCCCGCGAAGTCCTCCAGGATGGGGCCCCAGGCCGGCAACAACGCACCATATCCTGCTCCTCGCGAACTCGCCGTCGAGATGAGATGTCGTCACGGTGTGAAGGCCGAACGTCGGGGCCGGGCCGGGCCGGCCGGCTTGTCGACGCCGTGGTCATTCCCGCCCCTCCGCCGGCCACCTCGGGGGGTCACGCCGTCGCGGAGGTGCGAGGCCGTGCGGCGGCGTGCTCTCGAAGCAGCGCTCTCTCTGTATTTCTCTCTTTTCGAGGCGCGCGGGCCAAAGCAGTTATCTCCGTGAGCAGTTGCTCGTCGCCCCTCGCCCCCACCACACACCCACACCTTCGTCTCGATACGACGACGGTGCCGTGTAAGAGTTGTGACCGCGGCGCTCGCCGAGCCGGGGTGGCGGGGCGCGGCGACCGTATCGCCTGCCGGTCAAGAGCAACGGCGGCAGCGACGGCGACATGCCCGATGCCCGATACTCCCCCTCAACCTCTCACCCCCTAGTCCCCCAATGAGCAGCAGAGGCGGCAGCAGCAGGAGAATCGGCAAACACGACAGAAGTACCCCTGGCGCCTCGTCGTCTGAATCAATAAGGACGCATGGGACGGGGGGAGGCGCGGATAGATCGTGGATAGAATGCCCAGCAGGGGGGCCTCGAGGGGGGCGGCGGGGGCACCCGCCCGTCTGGCACCGGGCCGCTGGGGGGGTCAATGGACACGGCGAGTACGGCCCGTCACCATAGCCAATCAGTCGCCGCCGTCAACCAATCGCCGCGCGCGCGAGTTCGAATGAGACTTCTTGACCTGTCCAGCTGACCTCTCTCTCTCTGTCTCGCTTTTCGGTACGTTCCTCGATGACCGCCCACCACCGGCCCGCCCACGACACCTCTATCTATGCCTCCTGCTTGGGAACACGCGTCGTTTCCCTGCGCGGCGCCCGGCCCGGCGGCGCCCGCTGGTGCGCGGCGTCCGTCTCGGTGACGGCCAGTTCCAGTCAAAAGAATCCGATCTATATCGATACATTCGACACCGCGCTCGCCGGTCGCCCGCGCTCGGCGACATCGTCGTCGCGCCGACGTTGTCTCGACGTGTAACTGGACACCGCCACGCCCTCCTTCCCCCCTGGCGGCCCGTGTGCGCGCACAGTGGCGTAGGACGGAGACTTGATGAAGTTGCGTTGCCTCTCTCGCTCTCGGAGGTCCCCCCCCCCCCCCCCCCTGCTGCGGACACCCTTTCGCTCTGTGTGGCCATCTGGCCGGTTAGGCCGACACGGCGGGGGCCTCGCTGTCATTCGTCGAAGAGCTCCCTGCGGTTGGATTTCGCAATGGGTGTTCGCCGCTTCTGGCCTGTCCGGTCAGCGCGGGGCGGGACTTGGAGAGTATAACGACACGAGACGGGATACCGAGCTGAATTCAAAGTAAAGTTACTCTGCGGGGACGTGCTCATTCAGAGAGTTCACTTTGAGTCAGCACGATTCCGCACGTTGTTGCTCGTGACGGTTACTCTCACTGAAGCCGTGTCAGACAATAATGAATAGGCGGGTTTGGTGAACGCGGTCAGCTTTAGATAATTAATTCGTTTGAAAACTGTTTCGCGTTTGCCACGGAGATACGCGTATTCCCTTCTGCAGTGAGCCGTCATCCTCTGCAGAGTGTAGGCGAGGCGGCCAGCAAGGTGTCGCGGTCGTGGGGTAGGTCAAGCTCTTCTTGGACGGGCCGGCGGCGTCCTGGCCTGGCCACCGCAGCGGGGACGCGGGGCCGCCGGGGCCGCCGGGTCGCGACGCGCAGTGGCAAGAGATCAGAGTCGGAGAGCCGGGTGGGCGTGGAACGGTTGACTGAACTTGGCGGTTACCCTGCCGAGCCTGTGGGTCGCGCCAGGAGGGGCGGGGCGGGGCAGGGCAGGGGCGGGGCAAGGCGCGGCGCCCTGAGAGTCCGCGGCGCGGCCCCGCTGTTGTGTGCGGGAGAGTTATTTCGGAAAACGTTGGCAATACACTCGTCGAGGGACTTCTAGAATGTTTACCGACGATCCGACCGGTGATGGCCGATGCTCGCCGCGCCGCGCAGAGAGGATAGCGGCGAGACTCGCGGCTCAGACAGAGAAAAGAGCAAAGCGACGGACAAATAACGAGACGCTTCATACCGTCGTGGCCTTTGTGGTGTAAAGGAGGACGACTGCATATCGACCCGCCGCGCCGCACTCATCGGCGACAAGGACACATCTCCTTTAAAACGCTTTGGCGCCCGGCCTGTGCCAGAGGACCCGGGCCAAAACTCACGAGGTCTGTCCCTAAAACGAGACCGTGAAAAGTAACAGTAGTACACAGTACTACACAGTAGCCACGTAGCGTAGCAACTCCCCCCCCCCCTCTCCAACCCTTGGACGTTGATTAGTTTGTTGAAGGTGACGGCCATCAGTCGCCCTTCCTCCGACCCCTCGCTTGAACATTATTGGAGACAGGTCTTGGACTCTGGTCCAGGTGCTTTAGGCACCGGCCTCCTCCTGCGAGGCTGCGGTGCTGGTCGCCATGGCAACAAGACGCTAGATGATCGCAGTCAGCGACCGGCCTAGCCTGCAGAGGGGCAGCAGGGCGCGGAGCTGGGCAGGGCTGGGCTGGGCTGCTGGGGGGGATCGCATCTCAAGTTGCAGCGGGTGGATGCGATGCCTCACAAGGGAACCCCGCCAAGTGTAAATTCCCGATTTTCATTCTACTTTTGGAAATTGTTGGTCTTAATATGTCATCGAAGGACACATCAAAGATTTTTGCTTAAATTCATATTTAGGGGTCATTTTGGGTATTTGTTCAAAAAGCTGCTATTTCAATTATTTTTTATAACTTTCAAGAATGCTTCCTTAGGGGTAACTCGTCAAATTGTGGCCCTTTGGGCGAAAATTTCGTCCGTTTTGCTCTATCTGAAGCCGTTTAGGCGCTACCGCCACGTTTAGGAGGGGAAATGTACGGGATTTACTAGGGCTTAAGAGAAGCGGTTGTGAAAAGCAGTCCCACAAAAAAATGTTATAAGACAAAAGTTGTAGAAAAATGTAAGCTCTTTAACTTTTGTTTTATAACATTTTTTGTGGGACTGCTTTTTACAACCGCTTCTCTTAAGCCCTAGTGATTCCCGTACATTTCCCCTCCTAAACGTGGCGGTAGCGCCTAAACGGCTTCAGATAGAGGAAAACGGACGAAATTTTCGCCCAAAGGGCCACAATTTGACGAGTTACCCCTAAGGAAACATTCTTGAAAGTTTTAAA